TGAGTCTGTGCCCAGGTTTTTATGTTGGTTGATGGCGAGTTCGGGAGAGGTCCATATGTCCTTCGGAATTGTGCGTCATCATACAAATGAGTTTACAACAACGAATCTCAACACTAATGTAGTACCCCGCCTAGTAAACTCAGACGCCCAAGTTAGTAGTCGAGCAAGAATAGTAGAGAGCACCTTTAAGAATAAGTGATAGATTTTTCACTTATTTGGTGGTGGTGGTCCTTCCCTTTTGTAGGAATTCATGGCCGACCAGGAAGGACATTAGTCTAGAGCGCAGTGGCGTGCCCCACCGTACGAGATTTTGACAGGCAGGGATAGACATCCCTTACACATGGTGGTGGCATTGCCACCTGCCAGACTGTCCCCTTCTACAGGCTATCTGCAAACTGCGGTGCGTCCCCCGTATCGCTCTGTAGGGGTGCGCTCGTATTAGTCCTTCACGTACGTTTCTAACCGTCTGTGGTCCCCCATTCAGCTGTCTCCCTTTAGGGCTCGACACGCCACCTGCTTGGATTTCTCCCTCAACAGTTAGCTCTCTTTCAGATTTGATTGGCTTTGACTGATAGACCGGATCTGGAAGCGTTAACGCAGGTAAGTGCGTGGGACGCTTGCTTGGATGATCCTCTTCAAATCTTTGGTGGGGACCACACGTCAGGTTGGAAACATCATGGAGATTATTCGTTCGTGTCACCACATTGATGGAAGGGACACATGTCCTCCATCGTCTCGCAGGTCAGCGCGTCCCTCTAGTGTGGGATGGAGCGATGGCTAGCGGCGGTTACGATTTTTCATAGCTGTTGGGATTTGGAGCGACTCTAGAGACGGTTAAAATATCTACTCCAGACTTGCGGGCTTTTGTTTTCTATCCTTTTTCACTCTTTTCCCATTTCCTTTATGAGTAGTCATTTTCTACCCACCGGAGGTTCTCCATGGCTGGTTTGAGAAGAAAGAGTCGTTCCTCCACCGAAGGTCGTTCTGCCTCTTTCTCCAAGCTGTGACCCTTGGGAATCCCTACTGGGCCGGTTC